AATAAATGTTAAAATATAATACCACAATAAGCTGTTATGTCTCAAGAACTCCTGAGATATTTAAAGAATAGCTGAGCTTACATTATACTGACATGAAAGCAGCTATTTCTACCAGGTATACAAGACACTTCCATGTGGCAATATTGTCAACAGTTCACAACTCACTTGGCCTATCAGCTTTGAAATTGTCATTCTAGATAAACTATTTCATTTGGAGCTCACATATTTCATTCTGCCTATAAAGTGAGACTATTATTTTTATATTAAATTAGTTTGATTCTGCCTAGTTCAATTCAGATAAAATGTAACTTGCAGTGTAGTTGTTTGCCAAAAGCTTGTAAAGGAGTCAGATTATAAAGTCCTTGTTTAAGTAGGCTGAAGAGTTTGAACTTTTTTTCTGAAAGTACTGACTTACTTTCAGTAGGAGAAAGACATGGTCAAATTTATGTTTCAAAAACCTCACTCTGGCAGCAGTGTAGAGAACGGATTTGATGGGATAAAGTTGGACAGAGGCCAGAAAACAACCGCAGAAGCAATTTTAACAGTTAAGAGTTCATGAGGCTACAAACTAAGGCAGTGGCTGTGGGGATGATTCAAGAGAGCTTAAACAGCAGGATTTTTTGGCTGATTGGTTGTGGGTCAAATGGAAGAAGGGGGAACTGAGGATGACTTCAAAGTTTCTGGCTTGGGCAATTTGTTGAGTGGTTACCTCATTAAGAAAACAGAGGATGAAAGACAGGCTTGAGTGGAAAATAATTCAGTTTTGCAAATCTAAGAGATATCACAGAAGTCAAAAAACAAAGGAGGGCTTCCCTGGTAGCGCAGTGGTTGAGAGTCCGCCTGCCGATGCAGGGGACGCGGATTATTGCCCTGGTCTGGGAAGATCCCACGTGCCCCGTGGAGCGGCTAGGCCCGTGAGCCATGGCCGCTGAGCCTGCGCGTCCGGAGCCTGTGCTCCGCAACGGGAGAGGCCATGGCGTTGAGAGGCCCGCGTACCGCAAAAACAAAAACAAACAAAAAAAAACCCAAAGGAGCTTCAAGAAGGAGCTGCTTGGAGTCTGAAGCTGCAGTCCATAATTTAGATACAAGCTTAAACTTGTTCATTGAATTTGGCAATTAGGAAGTTTTGGTATCAGTAGAACAGTTTAGGGAAAGTAGAGGAACGGAAGGCAGGTGGACAAAGATCTAGGACAGAGTGGGATGAAAATGAAAAGTAAAGACAGTGAATACAAACTATTCTTTCAGTAAGTTTAGCTATAAAGAGAGAGGGTGGAGGTTACTGGGGGGTATATAACTTGCAAATTTCAATTTCTGGCTCCAGATCCACAGTTCCAACTGTAAGATATACTAATGAATTACTTTCTAAAGTATGTCCAAATAACCTGTCCCAAACTGAAGCCTGGGAGTCCTTCTCAACTCTTTTGTCTAACCTTCTCCTGTCTCAGAAATACTGTAGATTATAACTCAGAAATGTGTCTAGAATTTGGTATCTCCTCTCCATCTCCACCAGCACTATTTTGAATCTAGCCCTTGTCATTTCTGGTATTTTCTATTTAATATTCCTCTACTTGGTTTTCTTGCTTTCAGATTCTCACTCACTCCATGCTGTACTCATTTATTTCCCCTGCCAGGCCAGAACTTCCCCTCCCTTTTTTTGCCTACCAAACCCTTCTTCACCCTTTATCATTTAAGTCACAGCTCAAACATCTCCTCTAGGAAAACTTCCCTGACTCCTCCATTCCTAGCTAATCATTCTCTCCTCAGTGCCCACATCCCCCTCCCCACGTTCATGCTTCTAAAATACCTCTTATTACCCTTAATTAAGATTACAGATAGGTGTGCCGACTTCCACCTGAGTTTCTCTAAGACAATGAGCTGTCTTGTTTTTTCAATCTTTAACACCTGGAAAGAGCTTATACCGAGTAGGAGCTCAATAAATGTTAAATAAATGTTTGCTATGATAAGCCTTGTCACCATGACAACAGTGTGTAAAGGGAATGGCAGAAATTTTTTTCTGTCTTAAAACTTAAACTCCATCTGAAAGCCAGTGAGAAAGGGAAAGAATATGAAGGAAGTCTGAAAACAGATTTTAAAAAATAGAATAATTTCTCTAATATTCTTCCTCTTCTTTCTTTTCCTAGTAGTTTCTTTACTTTCTCTTTTATTTCATGTGAGTGTTTATTTTGAATTCTTTATTTTCTTAGCACTTTTTGTTGGATCTCAATACATCTATGGTTACAAGTATTGTGTTCCTCTTCCTCTCCTCCCCCCTAATTTTCCTCTTCCATGTTCCTTTGCTTTCTTAACTCTAATCTGTGAAAATTATAGTTCCCATTGGATAAAAATGTTTTGAAAATTTCATCTAAGATTCTGAGATTATTGACTTGAAAGAAAAAAGAGTTATAAACCACCCCAGACAGATCCTCTCAGGAGTAAGCAGTGATAATTGATTCTTTGCAACAACAAAGTTTCAGTTATACAAGCCTTGGAAACTAGCCAGAGGCTAGTGAACAGTAGAAAATCATGATGGAGATTAAACCACATGTGTTCCAATCTTTTCTGGGGCAAGTCATTTAACCCTGAGGGTCTCAGTTTCCTCATTTAGACAAGAGAGAGCTGCATGGTCAATATTAAAGTTTTTCTCCAGCTCCAGCATTCTGTAATTCTAGATTCTAGTTAAGGCTGCAAAGAGAGAACTATTTATATGTGGCAAATGCCCTAGTAGCCACTTCCTCATAATTCTAAAACAACACATATTGATGGAATATTTAGTATATAACCAGCTTTGCTAAGCCACTGGGAGTTTAAAAGCATACTATTAGATTAAAAGTAAAAATGTCTTGAACTTGAAAAGCAATAATGATTATGTTTATCTTTGCTCTGGAATTCTCATTCTGTGGAATAGGTATGGGATGAAATGAGGGAGCATGTTACCTAATTAATTCACTAAAATCAGGCAGGTAATCATCTCTACAGCAACAAGATCAAAATCTAAAATTTCAGTTCTGTAAGTCATTTTGTCCTTCAAAATTTTGCCATCCTACGAAGGTAAGTATGTGGGCGTGGTACAGGTGGGGGTGGAAGAAGACTCAGGTAAAAATTTAGGTAAATAGCTAAAGATAAAAGGTGTATATAGGGCTTCCCTGGTGGCGCAGTGGTTGAGGGTCCGCCTGCTGATGCAGGGGACACGGGTTCGTGCCCGGGTCTGCGAGGATCCCGTGCCGCGGAGCGGCTGGGCCCGTGAGCCGTGGCTGCTGGGCCTGTGCGTCCGGAGCCTGTGCTCCGCGGCGGGAGAGGCCACAACGGTGAGAGGCCCGCGTACCGCAAAAAAAAAAAAAAAAAAAAAGGTGTATATAATCAACTGCTAAATACAGACTCAAAGCAAGAAGCCAAAATAGAACTGCTGGAATGACCTTGTGGGAAAAGGAGAATTCAATTTAATCCTGATTGCTTGACTGAATAGATGGAGGAGAACATGGAAGAGCATTTATGTGATAATTAACACAAAATTATGGTGGGGGGTGGACTGAAAGGAGCTTTGGAGCTTTTTTTTTTTTTTTTTTTTTTTGGGGTACGCGGGCCTCTCTCTGTTGTGGCCTCTCCCGTTGCGGAGCACAGGCTCCGGACGCGCAGGCTCAGCGGCCATGGCTCACGGACCTAGCCGCTCCGTGGCATGTGGGATCCTCCCGGACGGGGGCACGAAGCCGTGTCCCCTGCATCGGCAGGCAGACTCTCAACCACTGCGCCAGCAGGGAAGCCCTGGAGCTATTTTTTTGCTGTAGTGGAACAATTCTGCTGTCTTGCAGTAAACACAAGGTAGGGTGGGGTTAGAATATGGAGGGCTTGGGAACTCACATAGAAGTGTTTGTATTTAATCTCACAGGCAATAGGAAAGCAGATTACTGAGCTGGCAAGGGTATTATGAAAAAGATTAGAGACAGGCTATGAAACGATAAGAATTCATAATATTCATGTAGGGATATTACGGACAAGCCAGATTTAAAAAGATATTTTGAAGAAAGATTTAATAGAACTTGAAATAGCTAGATATAGGCAAAAAGAAGAGTTTAAGAGTGTCCTAATTTTTGTTATTTATACTTTCAAATGGAGATATTTACTCAGCCCTTTCTTCATGTGAAATAAAATTCTCCTGGGGAATGCTATAATATTGTCCAACGTAGGCCAGCCTAAGGGCGCTGATGCAGATTCCATCAAGATTACCAACCTTTTGCAATTTTTTTGTTTGCTTTTAAAATAGTTGATTCAGAGTTGAGACTCCCTTTAAATAGAAGCTTATTTATTTTAACACTCTAAAGCAGTGATTCTCAGGGGTTTACGAGGTCAAAGCGATTTTCATAATAATTCTAAGATGTAATTTGTCATTTTCACTCTCATTTTCTCATGAGTGTACAATAAAGTTTACCAGGGGCTATATTTTAGTGATATTGCATAAACTGAATGCAGAAGCAGGTGAAAATGCAGCTATCTTCTACTAAGCCAGATATTACAGTGATTTGTAAAAATAAAAACAATGTCACTCTTCATAGTAGTTTTTTTTTGAATATATAGTTATCCGTAATTTAAAATGTTATTTATGCTAACATGTTATGTGCTTATTGTTATCTTAAAATAAATTAATAGGTCACTATTTTTTTTTACATTTCTCAGCTTTAATTTCTAATACAGTAAATGACAGTACTACAGTAAAAAACCTAGAGAAACAAAAATTCTTCAGGATCCTCAATAATTTTTAGGAGTATAAAGAGGTCACGAGACCAAAAAGTTTGAGAACATTTCCTCTGAAGTGATACTCTCCAAGGTTGGCTAAAAGAGAGAAAAAGATCTTCCTCTGAATATGCTATGTTCCTTATGTTGTTACTGACTAGTTGCCCATCATAGTGATGTCAGAGAAGTTACCTCTCAATCGCTTTTCTAGCTTATTTATTTACCTCGAATTGCCATGCCTGGGTTTCTGAATAACGAGTAATGATATTTCTTACCTGTGCTCAATAATTTCCTATGAGAGGACGTTATCTGAAAGGTTTGTCCCTTTCTTTTCCCGATAGAAGGCAGCCCTTCAGCAGCCAAAGCAGACAGCCAGGAATGTGGAAAGCTTTGGATAGCAGAACTCCCCGCTGCTTCTCCGGATCCAACAGCCGTCTGGAGGGGGAAGGTGCCTAGCCCTTTGGAGAAAGGAGGAAGAAGGTGGAGGGAGGAGACTGTTCTGGCACGCCTCAGACCCGCCTTAAACGTGGGCTCTTTCCTAGGGCAATGGAACCTGAAATACAGTGTCAGAGAATACGGGAATTTCTTTTAATGTAAAATCACAGTTTTAATGAAATCATTTCTTCTGTTGCAGTTCTGGCCCTTCAAAGCTTGTACCTCTTTCCGAAATACATCCAAGCACTTAAAAAAAAAAGCACCTGCTTGGTCAATTAGAAGCATCTTTTCTCGAACTAATCTTTCTCTTTTGAAACTTTCTACTCAGACTTCAGCACATTTTTTTTTCTCATCTACCACTGCTGAATAATCAGCCCTACAAGATAATTCCTATAATGTAATCACACCACTTAAAATGAAACTTTTAAAGAACAGAGCGTTACTATCACAGCTTTGAAAGTAACTAGCAGAAACAAAGTTTCTTAGACAATTTTCTCTTGAACATGTGCTAAATTGTATTACCTTGCTAGCAAGGGAATTAACAAGGTGATTTTTGTTTGTTTTTGCTTTTTTGCCAATACAGAGACTGTATGGAAACAGAGGGGTTCTAGAGTTAGGAAACAAAATGCTTATATAAGCAGCTAGTTGAGGTGTTTTTGTTGTCGTTGTTTATTTGCTTGTTTTTGTTTTTAACAAGATAGAGTTTTCATTTCATAAGGTCATAAAACATCATGTCCACAGCAGTGATTACAAAGGAAGTCTAAGATAGGATGGCTGAAGGTGCTTGGTGCAGTGACTATAAGAAAAAAAAAAAAAGCACACTTAAGAAGCGCAGCAACTAGAAAAAGCCCGTGCACGGCAATGAAAACCCAACGCAGCCAAAGATAAATAAATAGATAGATAGATAAATAAATAAATTTATATATATAAAAAAAGTGTATAATAAGACTATACACGATTGAAACTGAAATAAGTTTTTATCCTCTGTGTTGTCCAATCGGGCCAATTAACACAAAAGCATTAAGTAAACTGTGATTTAAATAAGTAGAACACTAAGCAAGTTCATTTTAAATGGTCCATTGCCAATTATTTCTCTCCAGCTATAAAGATATACAATGCATAATTCACCCATTTCTTACTTTTGGGACAAACATTTTTTCCTTTGACATAGAGCAACCCAAATGTCTCTATGTCCTACCTACTTCACAGGGTTGTTTGCGAAGATTAAATGAGATGATGACAGCTCTTTGAATATTTTATTTTTTTTGTGAGATCCTAAATAAGAGCATATATATATTTTTAACATCTTTATTGGAGTATAATTGCTTTACAATAGTGTGCTAGTTTCTGCTGTATAACAGAGTGAATCAGCTATACATATATCCCCATATCTCCTCCCTCTTGCGTCTCCCTCCCACCCTCCCTATCCCACCCCTCTAGGTGGTCACAAAGCACCGAGCTGATCTCCCTGTGCTATGCGGTTGCTTCCCACTAGCTATCGATTTTACATTTGGTAGTGTATATATGTCCATGCCACTCTCTCACTTTGTCCCAGTTCACCCTTCCCCCTCCCCGTGTCCTCATTCTTTGAATATTCTAAAGCACCAGACAACTATAACCCTGTGTGCCCTCTCACTTATTCTCACTTATGTAGCTTATACAATGGAGAAAAGATTTAAAAAATAAAATGTCTGTGCTGTTCTCTTAATCTGATGTAAACATTTATGTATTAGGTGGAATCATTTTTTCCTGGAAATATTTTAACAACTAGATAACAACCTGTTTAGATATCATACAATGTGAAGGCTGGGAGAGGAATTAGGTCAGTATTTCTCAGACTTTTGGATTTGATGGACCATTAAGAATAATAACAACAACGACAATAATGAAGAAGAGATAAACACTGAGTGGATAACTTTACATTTTACCAAGTAAGGACATTAAAAATCTAAAAAATTTTATATTTTTTGTTTCTTGAGAGGACACGTTAACATCAAAAAATTTATGACATAGTAACAGAATAAAAGAATCTTTTAAAGTGAGTGCATTAACTTTAGGAAAAACTCATTACTTTTCCCTTCATTTTATCACAAATAGGGAACATTTCAATACAGATTGCTATCAGTCCTCAGATAGTGATTAGAATCCTTTAAAGACTATCAATAACTGCACCATAACCACTAGTCTATCTTTATTAAATGACTTACATTTCACAATAATGCCAACTCAAGTTAAACCAAGTACTTTTTTCCTAGGAGCTTACTTGAAACAATTGGCTTTTCCACAAACCAATAAATAAACATATGCCCACAATACTTACATCTTGACAACTAACAGTTAAATAAGCCAAAGGGAAAAAAACAATAATATGTATGTGTTAAACATAATTTGCTAAGGTGCAAGATTGTGGACCTGGAATTTATGGGAAGTGTTACTGACCTCTGTTTTATGAGGTGATATGCTTTTTATTTTCTTCCACAACTAACGGAGCATTAAGTGTGGAACGTCTATCTTTCAAGTTGCAGGTCAGAGTCACCACATTAAAGCTCCCCATAAGGCTAAACTTCAAATACGTGAGCCACGTGTGTTACAAAATTTTTTTTTCAAAGCTGCCAATGAAGTTGATTAGTTATTGACACATCAAGAAGGGAATTTTCTCAACCGGTGTGATTCCGAAAGTTTGGTTGCACCAAAAAGAAAGAGGTGAAGGAACGGAGGTTCTGGATACAAACTCTCGGCTTGAGGGCCAGGGGAACTCAAGATTAAACCGTTGCTGCAGACCCACCATCTGGGACAGGATGTACCTTTTACTTGGAACGTGGTGGTGGTGTGCTACTATTTCGTGTTCCTTTTCTGAGGTTCCAAGAGGCTGGGACACACCCAGCCTTCCTCTGGCAGTTCTTCCTTGGTCTTTCTTGAGATACCAGTCTCAGATCTCTCCCTTCTTCCCCAGACACTAACTCAGAGGTGGCGAGTTCTGTTTCACGGAGACCCCAAAGCGAGAGGCAAGGTGGTAAAAAAACCCCTCTCCTCGGCAGCGCGGGAGGCGGTGCAGGCGCCTCACGTAATCTGCGCGCTGCACGCTGGGAAATCCGCCTCTCCGAGCCTGCGCACTCGCGTGTACGCCGGGCTTCCTCGTTCCTGTGCTTTGGCTGACGAGTAAGTTCCCGACGCCGCCGAGCCGCAGACTGCTCTCGGGCAGGGCCTGTGGGGATGAGTGCCGATGAGAGTGTGACAGGGTGTGAAGCAAGGCAGTGAGAGAGGGTGGACACTTACCCGGAGGGTCTCTAGTGGGGCTGAAACGCTAGTGGGGAAGAAAGGAGGGGCGCGGCGGGAAGTGAGAAGCAAGATAGGTGGGATGGCCTGGTAGGCCGAGATGGCGGTGGGAGGAAAGAGAAGGTGAGGAGAAAACGGTTGCACAAGGCCTGGGGGTAGTGCTTGGTTATGACGAAGGCACCAACGCCTCAGATTGCACAGCTGGGGTCAGTGGCTGTGAATGGTATTTGTCACAGGTGGGGAGGCCCAGCCTCTAGACCAGGCCTTGATTCAGCTGAGGGCTTAAACTATGACAGATAATCTGTTTTTACAGAAGCAGAATTACCTAATTAGAAGAGTTTTGATTTGACATACATGCATGTTCTTTTACTTTGAGAGAGGCGAGAAGAGGTGTAAAAGGAAAAGGGAAGAGAAAAAGAGGAAGGGAGACGAGAACCAATCTCGTGTTCGCTTCTCTGAAACATTCTCAAACTTCGCAAGGCAGAGTGAGCACTACTGTGCATGTGTAGTATTTTCAACGTCTTACCGTTATAGCGCTTAAATTTATATGCTAGAATGGTACCAACAGGAATGTAGAAGCACTATATGGAATTTACTAAACAGACATCTTTTTTTTTTTCTTTTTTTTTGCGGTACGCGGGCCTCTCACTGCTGTGGCCTCTCCCGTTGCGGAGCACAGGCTCCGGACGCGCAGGCTCGGCAGCCATGGCTCACGGGCCCAGCCTTTCCGCGGCATGTGGGATCCTCCCGGACCGGGGCACGAACCCGCGTCCCCTGCATCGGCAGGCAGACTCTCAACCACTGAGCCACCAGGGAAGCCCAAAACAGACATCTTTATTATTTGTTGTTGCTGTCTTTCTGTCATATATATGAATATTATACATGACTAAGCAAACAGATTCATTACAATTTTCCAGGTCAGCAGAGTTTCTCAAAAAGCAAGCAAAGTAAATGATAACTTGAGTGTAGACAGAGATCCTTATCTGTTAGGGTGTAGAGACTATACCATTCTAGGTTTCAACATTTTTCAAGTTTAAACTTAATCTTTCAGATTCCCAGGGAAATTATCTTCAGAATTTATGGGAAAGTAATTTAAAAGTAAATTTTGATGCTATATGAAGGTAAGATAGGACAGTGGAAACAGAAGTCTCTTTTAGACTAGAAGAGATCTTGGTCCTAGTCTGGCCCAGTTTTACATGTTTGAATTTGGTCAGCTATCTCTGCCTCTGTTTTCACATCTGTAAAATTGAGATTGAATTAGATGAACTGTAAGATTTGTTTCAACATTAAGATTTTGTGAAGGCTGAAAAATCCAGAATGAATCCTGAGACAAGGCAGAAAGTGCCAAAGAGACAGGCTTGGCTGACTGCATATAGAGGGAGTAGAAGAAAATCATGGGGATGGTAGGTTGGCCCAGGTGATATATGACTTTGGATGCTCTACCGTAGAATTTGAGCTTATTCTGGAGCAATGAATGGTCAAGGGAAGGTTTTTTGAGTTAAGGGAATGCAGTAATCAGAGTTTTGAAAGACTGCCCAAACAGCAGTTGGTAGAATGAAACAGAGAAGGGAGAATTTGAGTAGGTTAGGTAAGTGACAAATAATGAGAGCCCAAACTAACAGTGGCAGGAGGAGTGGAAAGAAAGGGAAGGATTCAAGAGAGCTGCAGCATGAGTTTGTACCTAAAATTGACATTGCTCTAAACTTTGCAGCTCTTGCCTCCAGAATATGGCCAGTCACCTTGTAAAACCTGATTCTAGAAATTGCAAGAGACCAAGAGAGTTGGAGGTAATCTTTGTGCTTGTGGAGCCTTACTCTTTTATTTTATATACGTCTCAAATTTTTTCCATTTCAGATAATTCTACTGATAAATGGAATTTAATGTCTTCATATTCCCAGAGCTGGGATTGTCCCAGCAGGAACTATGTTGACTCCAGCTGCCTTTTCACTAAGTATAGGCCTCCAGGAAACTATTGGGAGGTTTCTTTGTGGTAATTTGTGATCTAGAGACAGAAGTGGGTTCATGCCTTTATAACACATAAGACTTTACATAATTATTTTGATATCTAAGTAGGATACCTAGGTACTATACTTGCTGATAGTTTTGAAAAAGAGCACTGCATCCTGCCCTTCTTCACTGCTACCCCACCAATTGATCTGTTTACATTTGGAACATTATTTGTTCCCTTAAAGATTATGTTATCTTGCGAAAATTTGCAAACATATGGCTGTTATCCAAATGAAAGTTTTGCTCTTTTGCTATGGAAAACACCTGCTGGCTCAAGATACAGGAAACTTTTTCATCAGGGGATTAATACTATTTTCAAAGTCTAAACACATAATAAAATTATTATGTTGAACAAAGTTGGGCCTAAAAGTTTCCTGGTTAATAAAATTACAAATAACTAATCAGGACACAAGAGTATGTAATTTCCAGCATGTTTGCTTTTTTCTGAAAGAAGTTTTATTTGCTTTTTTTTTTTTTTAACAGAATGTATATATCTTAAGCATCTTGCTAGCAATTTACGTATTTTCTCTACTTTCTTTTGTTAGCCTCAAATGCCAGATAGTCCACAACTGTCCTCTCTTGGAAAATCAGATTCTTCTTTCTCTGAAAGCTCTGGACTATTTTATAAAGATGAAGCCCTGGAGAAAGATTTGAATGGTGATCTATAAAGTGCTTGTATTTCTATACATTGATATTATAATATGGAAAGTTTATTATAGTTAACTTAGTGATTTATTTTTGAACAGATATGAGCAAGGAAATTAATCTAATGTTGTCTACATATGCAAAGATCTTAAGGCAAGTACTTATAGTATATTCTCTTGATTTTACACACAGAAGTTTTCTTCTGGAAACTCCGTAATGGGAAGTTTAGTGCAGGGGCTACAAAACCTATCTAGTAATTATAATTTTGAAATTTCTTATTCTACCTCAGTTTCTTATAATAGATTAGTTGTTTATTTTCAAAGACTACCGTTTCTACTAAACATCTTTTGATACTCTCAGAGCTGAAACAAGGCTGGATATATTTTATTCTCTAATTATCAATAGATGATAAAACACTTAAATTTTTATGAAAAAACTTTCAGAAAGATACCATTTGGTGAAGTTAACCATAATAATAGAGTGATATTAAAGAGAAATATATTTATGAAATGTTTAAATATTATCAATATATATTTGAAGGCTGAATTTAAATATTCTGTTGGCCTGAGAGTATCATGTTTTATAAGGTGTTTTTTAAAACTACTGGACAGTCACTGTATTTGAATAATGGTTTGTGTGGCTGTTAAGATAATGTATATAGTTTAGTATTAGAATTATAATGTGTAAGATACACATTCTGCTGTGTGAAGGGACTTTGAGTAGTCAAAAATATTTGTGGAACTAATTTGACTTTTACTGAAGCAGTGCTTGTAAATTAATGAAGCTTTTTGATGTACAAAGCCATTTACATGAAATAGCTAACAAATATAGCATAATAGAACACGTCACTATGATAGTGTATTTAGATGTTATGACTATTTAGTTTAATGTAAAACTTTTTTTCCCCACTAGTGAGAGAGCAGCAGTAGATGCATCTTATATTGACGAGATAGATGGACTCTTCAAAGAAGCCAATAATATTGAAAACTTTCTAATACAGAAAAGAGAGCTCCTGAGACAGAGGTTCACAGTGATTGCAAACACACTACACAGATAAAATTGTGTACTTAAAATAAGCTGAGAATTTAAGCCCATTATTGTTGTAATGAAAGAATGACATTTGTGCTGTGAATGCTCTCCAGTTGTTAAGAAAATGTATACCTTAAATATAGAAGGGGAAACTCCTTAAATTTCTTTTCTCGATTTAAAAGGGGCATTAAGCTGGACATTAATATGATACATAGCCTTTCTTTTGAGAGTCAAATATTTGTCATATTTTATAAAAGTGTAAACTATTTAGATTGTATATGGAGCCTCTTCTTTTTTTTTCTTAAACCTCCTAACCTTTCTTAAATTTCTAAGACTCAGTGAGTTAATTTGATAATATTTAACAATATTGAACTTTTTCTTTTAGAATTTTTGTTTAAATAGCAGATAGATAGCTTTGGAGATAGTTTTAAGATGTTTTTCATGGTCAGCATTGAAAAAAATTAAAACCCAAAAGTAATTTGTCCAGTTTCTCAATATGTAGTTAAACCGTGCTATTGCTATTTAATATTACCATTTGATTATTTTCACTATTATTATTATACATTGCTAATAAAAATTTGGTTTAAAATTATTGTCTTGTGGTAAAATAAAAACCAGAAATTACTAACCAGAACTTTATATGAATTGACTTTTTTACACATCAGCCATATCAATGGTACAGTTAATGAAGTATATTTAGAAGCCTTAGCAGCTAGCTGTGTGGTATAGGATAAAGATTAGTGGTCCAGAAGTAAAGAGATTGTTTAAACAATTCAATCTCAGTGAGTCATTTCAATCCTATTATAATGCAGAAATTGAATTCGGACTAGGAAATCTCTACTATTTATCTAGCTGAAAAAATCCTCCCTTTGTTGGAAGGTACTGCTATGATTTTATTGAAAACTTTTAACGTTATATAATTACATGTGATAGCTATATTGATCAGATTTTTAAAAATCACAGCACCAATTGTTCAATCATGTAGATAATTCGATCTATTATTTGTATATTTTGCCTATATAAGCAATCACAAATTTGGACATATTTACAGGCAGTACTACAGGGAATTTGGTATTCCTCAGGTGGACAGCATGTTTGCCTTGCTGCCTTCTAAATGTTAAAATCTCATTTCATCAAATTACTATTTTAAGGCATATATACCACATATAATAAATATTCATACAAGAAAGCACTGAAAACAGTGAAATAAAAGAATATTTACTAGAAGTATTGGTTATTAAGTGGAAAAAATTACTTGGTTTGTAGAGGGATATGTTAATGTCACAGGATAGGTTGGAGGTCAATGAAGATTAGAAATGACATTTTTAAAATGTTTTATTAAAAAATTTTTTTAAACATCTTTATTGGAGTATAATTGATTTACATTGTTGTGTTAATTTCTGTTGTATAACAAAGTGAATCATCTATACATATACATATATCCCCATATCCCCTACCTCTTGCGTCTCCTTCCCAGTCTCTCTATCCCACCCCTCTAGGTGGTCACAAAGTGTCGAGCTGATCTCCCTGTGCTATGTGGCTGCTTCCCACTAGCTATCTGTTTTACATTTGGTAGTGTGTATTTGTCAATGCCACTCTCTCACTTTGTCCCAGCTTACCCTTCCCCCTCCCCATGTCCTCAAGTCCGTTCTCTACATCTGTGTCTTTATTCCTGTCCTGCCTCTAGGTTCTTCAGAACCATTTTTATTTTTTAGATTCCATGTATATGTGTTAGTATACGGTATTTGTTTTTCTCTTTCTGACTTACTTCACTCTGTATGACAGAGCCTAGGTCCATCCATAGAAATGGGATTTTTAAATACTGAGTGCAACAGGAAGACTCTCTGAGTTGATATGACAAATCAGCTGGATTTTGAGTTATTCTGTTACCTTAGAGTTATTTAATGTTTAAATACGAAGATGACTCTGCTGGCCTATCATCATTAAGAAATGTTCTTGAGTTATTTTTTTTCTAAGCATTTGTTATTAATGTGAAAGATAAGGCTAACATTGTTTCAGAGTGGATTTCGTATTATATTATATCTTGATAGTGTCACCATTGTTCAGCATCTGGTTCTTCCCTGTGTAGGTTAAATTTGATCATTTCATTGGGTGTGTATAAGACTAGGGAACTGATTTTTAGTCACAGTGTGTTTACTGGTCAGAACAGGTACCTCCTGGGGAAAAGTTCCTGAAAGCCTAATTAATGCTTATTTTTTAATCAAATTGGATGTCTTTGGTACCATCCACATGAGAATAATTACCTCACAACTGGAAATATGCTATTGCAGGAATATATTTGCCCTTTGATTTATACTTATCACTCATTTCAATAAGATTTCATAAAGTTTATAAATTATTCTTCACTAATTACAAATCAAAATATATATTGAGTCTCTGTACATCATGATCTGCTAGACACTGTGGGGAGTATAGATAGTTTAAGATACTCTGTTCTCCCTTCTGACAAGTTTGACCACTCCTTTTTTTTTTTAACATCTGTATTGGAGCATAATTGCTTTACGATGGTGTGTTAGTTTCTGCTTTATAACAGAGTGAATCAGCTATACATATACATATATCCTCATATCTCCTCCCTCCTGCGTCTCCCTCCCACCCTCCCTATCCCACCCCTCTAGGTGGTCACAAGGCACCGAGCTGATCTCCCTGTGTAACCACTCTTTTCTTGAAATACACTTATGTGTCTTTGCTAGGAAGACATGATATGTCAATGTTAAAAGTATTTCTGTGGCACTCCTTTTAGTGGAAGTTACTAGAAGGCTTTCGCAAGGGGGTCAGATAGGTAGTTTTTTTTTCTTTTTTTTTTTTTGCGGTACCCGGGCCTCTCACTGTTGTGCCCTCTCCCGTTGCGGAGCACAGGCCCCGGACGCGCAGGCCCAGCGGCCATGGCCCACGGGCCCAGCCGCTCTGCGGCATGTGGGATCCTCCCAGACCGGGGCACGAACCCGCGTGCCCTGCATCGGCAGGCGGACTCCCAACCACAGTGCCACCAGGGAAGCCCCAGATAGGTAGATTTTGAAATGGGTTTTTGAAAAGGAAAGAGGGAGGATATTTCAGGCAGGGAAAAATTTGATCAGAGGCACAGAAAAAAAAAGCGTGGTAAGTCATTTTACTGGGCTGAGAATTCACAAAGGGGAATAGTGTATCATCTAAACTGCTAGAGAGCAGGACGGAATCTGTTCTCAATTTGTAGCACAGTATTTGATACATTGGAGCTCAGAAATGTTTGTTAAATTAATAAATTATTTATGGTTATTAGTTTTTTAAGGGTATACCTTCACAGGGCTTTAGTCATACTAGATTGTTAGAGAATGTTTTGCAAATTAAATGAATAGAAAAGGAAAGGTGAGATGCTAGAAAGGCAGAGAGACAAAGGATGAAAGGTAGGTTGTGGCCAGATTGTAAAGTCCTTTGTTGACAGATTAAATTTGGACTTTATTCTGTAAAGGAAGAGGAGATCTGAATCATTCAGAGGAGAGGAGTGGCGTAATGAAATTGATCCCCTGGATCAGCTGAATTGTAGTGTGAGGACAGATTTGAAAGAGGAAAGTTTAGGGAGGGAGACCACTATTGGTGGTCCAATTTCAGTATTTCTAACAGCAACTTACTATAGATAGGTTGTTGGGATACTTGTTCTGGAAATGAGACTAAGAGTGGTTGCAGGCATTTTGAAGTCCTGCCCTTTAATCTCCACACCCTTCTATTCTGTCAGTGAGCCAGGGACAGCCCAGGAAGTGAGCATTTCACTGCCAGTCAGTGTGAGGATTTGGGAATCACAGGATCTGCTGCTACTGAACTCGATACAAAGATGTTTTTTCAAATCTTTCTACGTTTCGTCAGCAATCTTTCTACCATTGTAACTGGTTTCCTTTCTGTGGTAGTACACTGGATTCCAGGTAGGGGATTTGCCCCTTCCTCTTCCTCTTTCTCTTTTTTCTACCAGCCTGAACGTAGATCTCTCTGCCTCTTTCCTGAAGAATACTAGGGGCTTCTGAAGTTTTCCAATCTGTGTGGAGCAGATACAGGCAGCAGCACTGCAGAGCTGGGAGTTAAAGGAGATTGAGTCAGGATTTGTTTACTTGTTTTCAGGGAAACAGCCTTTCTGTTTGTATATTTTATACAACATAAGGGGTGGGATTCAGGGTTTAGGAATTCTCTTGGATCTGCAATAGGAAGAATATTCACTATTTAGAATTTTCTCATTTGAAAATCACTGCTACATGTTCTAATGTAAATGTTTGGTTCTTCTGTTTGCATTCTGGGGGACTGCCTTAAAACCTCTGTTTATTGTTTTGTAGCTTTCTGTTGTATCTACTAACTGTTACATGATTTTATTCTTGAAATTGGCTGATATAGAGCTATTAGACATACTGATATGCACTAAAAACTTTAAAGTTATTTAATTCGGGGGTGGTGGTGATGGTGTGACGAATTGGGAGATTGGGATTGACATATATACACTAATATGTATAAAATGGATAACTAATAAGAACCTGCTGTATAAAAAATAAATAAAATTCAAAAATTCAAAAACAAAACAAAACAAACAAGAGAAAACCTCATTGTCCGTCAACCACACATTCCCATTGTTCTTGAAACCTGCTTTATGGGGGGATGGCACCTGAAGAGGGAAAATAACAACCGCCCAGGCTGTTATATCTTTCTGATAAATATCAGGCTGCAGTCACTTGTGAACGTTTCCCTCATTAGGTTTGGATAATTAATTGCTGAGTCTTGCTGCTTTCTTTTGAGAAAGGGGCAGTATATAAAATATATCTTATGAAAAAATATGCTGCATCTGATTTAAGAATAAATGCTCAATTTCAGGGCTGCAAAAAAAATGAAAAATAAAAAAATGAATTATTTAATTCAGTAATGTAGTGCTTGCTCTATGTAAGGCAATGTGTTAGGTAATGGGGTGGAGACAAAAACAAGACCCTGTACTCAAGGAGTACTGGTAGTAGAAGTCATAAACTATATTCATCTTTATCATACTAGGTGGAGTAAGACAAATGCCATAAGAGAGCTAAAACAGATGCTGTGTGATTTCAGACTAAGGAGAATCAGTTCTTACTCTATGAAATGGGAATATTGTGTTTATGAAGCTGGTGACATGGGCACTGCATCTTGAAGGATGCACCACCTTAAGTAGATGAGAAATAT